GGAAAGCTCAAAGACACAGTTTGGTAATATTAGGAAAATGTTTGATCCATTTGTCAAATCGAAGTCTCTGAGAAATCCCCTTGGACACATTGGAGAATCGGGCCAGTTCAAAGCAGAATGTACGGAAAAAATGATGAAGGACAGTGATCATTGCAAAGCATTGTTCAGTGGCAACTCAGATAATCATAAAAAAGGGAATACCCATCCTACAGTCATGAGTAAGGACCATACACTGGCCCTCAAGTCTTCCCCAGTTCATCTACGAGGTCGTCTTAATCTGGAAAACAAAGATGGGCTGCCAGTTTTTTGGTTCGTCTTGGATTCTCCTGGGGATGTTTATGTGGGAAAAACATGGAAATCTAACAATGGTTCCAACTGGACATATACATTTTCCTCTGTCGGAAGAAGAAAGAAAAGCAATGCAAGTGCATGGGGTTTGAATGACGGCTACCGAGAATCCTCTATCATTGGTCAGATGCAAGTTTCCTGTTACATGTGTACCGAACTAAGAAAAAAGGGTCAAGATCCAGACAAACTGATGGTAACCGAGTTTGTTTTGTACGATAGTGCGCGTGAGAGAAAAAGTGTTTCTGCACATGCAGATCCATCCCGACCACATGATAAAGTTCGGAAAAATTCTGCTAAACCAGACTTGAATTCAGGAAATATTGAACCGGATGACGGTTCTGATGTATCGAAGCTGAGACCTCAGGCCAAGTGTGCATCTGAAAGTTGCGATCTTGATGCTTCAAATGTACCAAACCCGTTGCCAGCTGCAGATTTGCATCCTGACCTTGAAATCGCGGCTATAATCATTCAAGACCAGATTGAGAAGAGGGAAAGCTTAAAGTATAGAAGAGGCGACCAAAGGGTCATGGATAAGAGGAATCTTCTAAGTCTTTCTCCTATCGATGAAGGCAAGAAATACTCTTACGGAAGCAGAAATCCAGAAAAGTTAAAGGTCGTAATCCCGAGGGGAAACCATGGCATACCAACTTCTGAAAGCTTTGGCCCTTCACCTTTGCTTAAGAGATGGAGGTCAGGTGGCTGCTGTGACTGTGGTGGTTGGGACATGGCTTGCCCTCTTGTGGTTTTCGGAAACCCTAGTCTCTCATGTTCTCATGATCACCCTCTTGTGGACAATCACCATCCATTGAAACTATTTGCCCAGGTAAAAAAATGGATCCTTTTACTCAATGGAACACGATTCTGTTGCTAATGGTGCATGTAAATTTTGAACTGCATGGCTAGTTTTAAAGATTGGAGCTTTATGATAGATTTCAACTGCAAAACCTTACACTTTGCCCCGTATAAGTGTTAAATGCTTGATGTGGAACTCTTGTTCCATTTTTATCTTACATGTTAGACAGTTTGGTCATTCTGATGTTTTATCTTTATAGGGAGCTAAGGAGAATACACCAGCGTTGTCCATGTCATTTGTCGAGGAGGGACAATATGATATTCATTTCCATGCACAGTTATCAGCATTGC